GGGTGTTGGAGAGGACTCCAGAGAATGCCACAGGATAGCCAAAAAAACAAACCAACAGATCACAGAACAAATCAATTTGGAATTCGCAGTTGGGGCACAAATGACCAAACATTATGTGAAGGCCCAGCTCTCTGGAGAAGGCTCTGATGCTGGGAAAGGTGGAAAGAAAGAGAAGAAGAGGACAACCAGCAGCAAGGTAGATGGACTTAATTACATGGTGATGGCAGCACCATTGGAAGGTCCACCAAACTACTGAAAGAAAGCTTGGTGATTATAAAAGGAAATACATTTGATTCCATAAACTTATGGAAAGTTAAGGTAAAAGCAAGTTTCCAGAAAGTCAAACTTGACTCCTGTGACTACCTGGACTTCACCATTTAGTTTTCTTGAAACAGTGCATAAATGGTTTGCTGTTGCTTTCTTCCAGGCGTTTTCAACTTCCCATTCCAGCTTACAGCTTTACAATCTCTTGGTGGTCTCCCATCCATTTAACAACCAGGTCAGAATCTCTTTAGATTTTTCAGATTAGGGGCAATGCATGTTCAGCTAAAATAATTAAATGAAGAGATGTTATGCCTTCTATCCAAACAGAACATGACATTAAAATTCTGTTACATAACACTGCTTCATACTGTATGTGTTACAGGTAGTCCTTGACTTACAACCACAACTGGGACCTGAACTTCCATTGCTAAGCAATGCAGTCTTTAAATGAATAGGGCCTGATTGTATTACCTTTTTTGCCGCAGTTGTTAAGCAAATCACATGGTCGTTAAGCGAATCTAGCTTCCCCCATTGACACTGTTTGTTGGAAGCCTCCTGGTAAGGCCACCAATGGCGATCATGTGACTCTGGGATGCTGCAACTGTCCTAACATGCTGGTTGCCAAGCGCCCTAATTTTGATCGTGTGACCATGGGGACGCTGCAACAGCTGTAAGTGCAAGGACCAGTCATAAGTCACTTTTTTGGTAACTTTGAACAGCCATTGAAACTTTGAACAGTCATTAAATGAATGATTATAAGTCGAGAACTACCTGTAGGACAAATAGTAGAGCACCTACACACAATGTCCCAACTTAGCCCATTAGAAAATAGACTGCTCCAAGCCATCCTTAATAGATTTTTATGCAGTTGCCATAATGCCTGTTCTGAAGGTTTCTTCTTGTATTCCAATAACTATTTACTGACGTTTCTGGAAAGTCACAAGATCAAACCACAAATATATAATCAAAAAATTATCATTAACCAACCTACAGGGCATTTTTCTTCCATGTCAATGTTCCTTAACACTATGGATTATCTAATGAAAGCAGTAAATCAACTTATGTGCAACTGTTCCTTTGACCAAGATGCCTACTTAGTGTCAAGTCCACAATGTCCAACTCCCAGTTCTGAAGCATTCTCACGCAACCAGGCTTGGTTCAGAAAAATACTTCTTTATTACGTGGTACATGTAGCTTGTAAACAGAACATTGCTAAAACTAAAGCCTTGGGTAAACTTCCCTATTTATCCCCCCCCCTAACATTGCCTGGCGTCTTGATTCTTCTCCACCTGGTGGTGACCTCTTTCCTTCCTCCCCCTCCTACATGAGCCCCTTCCTGGCTCTTTGGGCCCCACCTGCCTTGCCGGCAATCAAACCACTCTAAATTGCCCATATATGGTTAAGCTGCTTCCCAGCTCCCATTACAACCATTAACAGCAACCCCCCCCGCCCTTAGTTACAAGTGGCAGAAACAAATCAATCCAACTCCCAACAAATGCAATATAATGGAACAACAACAACAGTTGGGTGATGCAGGTTCTGACATGCTGCCCCCCCCAAAAAAAGAACCCCTCTTCACCAGGATGGCCTGGAACCCTAGAAATAAGAAAAAGAGGAACTAGAATTATGAAGACATACATTCCATAGAATCCAACAAGATTACCTGGGTTTGTTAGGATAATTTTTATAAAAGTCCAAAAGTAAGTCAGGAGCTTTAACATGTCTTTTGGAGACCCATTCAGCCAACGATTTAGAGAAATGTT